GTCAAACAATTTAGACAATACAATAATATACAGTATTTAGACTTTCTGTGTATTTTACATCTTTACATGGCATTTTTTCTTACTCATTTCTTTTATTTTTTAATTTTTGGTTTTTTGAGACAATGTTTCTCTGTGTGTCCTTGGCTATCCTGGAACTCACTCTGTAGACTAGGCTGGCCTCAAACTCACAAAGAGCTGCCTGCCTCTGCCTCTTGAGTGCTGGAATTAAAAGCGTGTGCCATCATGCCTGGCTACTCTATTTCTTCTTTTTAAAAACTTTCTCTATCCTTTGTCTTTTCTCTCCCAAGCCTATGTACATTTTGAAACATACTGTAAGCCATTTAGAAGTTCGTTTTTTTTTCCATCTGAATCTTTCTTTGCTATATATCTTTATCTTTTTCTCAGCACATGAGTCTTAAACCTGTGAAGCAGTATGGCTAGAATTAAAACTGTGGCTTTGGTGGCTGGCTCTACCCCATTCCTTAGATTTATGAGAGTCTAGCTTCACAGAGGAGGTACTTGTGGAAGCCATGTTTATTGCCATACCTCCATGGAATTTCAAGGTCCCTGCCACCACCAAGAAGCATATTGCCAGCTGCTCATGAACATCATTTAAGTGTTTGGTGGCAGAACCTCTTTTTTTGTTTTGTTTTGTTTTTATCAAGACATGGTTTCTCTGTAGCTTTGGAGCCTGTCCTGGAACTAGTTCTTATAGATCAGGTTGGCCTCAAACTCACAAAGACCTGCCTGCCTCTGCCTCCCAAGGACTGGGATTAAAGGTGTGAGCCACCACTGCCTGACTGGTGGCAGAGCCACTTAAAAGAGCCATGTGGTTTTTGCAGTTAAAGCTGAGTCAGAAAGCCTCTCTTAAAGTAACAATGTTTCTGCTTGCCTTCAGCAAACAAAGCCTACCAGAAAAAAAGATGATTGCCAAGAAGCTGTACTTGACACTGTTCTTCTCTGATGGCAGAGGCTCTGCTAAGACCAGAAATAATTACTCAAAAACTGTATTATTTAAAACACTGTTTGGCCAATAGCTTAAGCATATTGCTCTCTAACTCTTATATCTTAAATTAACCCATTTCCATTAATCTATGCATCACCATGAGTCATGGCTTACCTGAAAAGTTTAGGCAGGCTCCAGCAGAGGTGTCTGTCTCCTGTGTTGGCTACATGACTTCTCTCTGACTCTGCCTTCTCTCTCTCTCTCTCTGTCTCTCTCTCTCTCTCTGTCTCTCTCTCTCTGTCTCTCCATCTCTGTCTGGCTTATTAAGCCATTGGCCAAAAGCAGTTTTATTCATTAACCAATAAAAGCAGCACATATACAGAAGAACTTCCCATACCATTTTCCCTTTTATGTTTAAATAAGAAGGAAGGTTTTAACTTTAAATAGTAAAATTACGTATAACAAAACAGGTATCAAGCAAGAATTATAGTTACAATATTTATATAATTATAGCTACAATATTTATATCTAATTTATCTTTTATTATAACAAAGGAAAACGATAATTATAACTATTATTCAGCTCCATCAAAGACCCCAGAAGGAAATAATATTACCTAAGTTAACAGGAAGTACATTGTAAGCAACTTCTAAAACTCTAGAATTGACAAAGATATCTCACTGCCTGAACAGTCAACCAAAGTTTTTCTGTATCATTGGAGTGTCCATCTTCAGCCTACAGGCCCATAGTATCCGGCAGACTTTTCCATGAAGCAGGAAATGTCAAAGACAGTTACTCCTATATTGGCAGTTTGGCAGTCTTCTGTCTCCTGCAGAATGTCTGACAGACTCTTTTATGAAGGAGGAACACTGAAAAACCATCTCACCTTTGGGAGAGTTTAGCAGTCATTTCTCTGTGGGACCTGCATGTCATACAGCATACCATCAAACAGTCGGGGCAAGAGCAGTTTCTTGCCCAAATGGCTAACAAACTCCATAAGGAGCCTCTTTGATGCCCATCATTTTCTTGAAGTATACTGATGCTACCAGCTTATGAGTCTCATTGTCATGAAAAGTTCTAAGGTCTTAAAACATTTTAAACGCCACATTTCATAGGTCTTTGAAAGGTTTGAAGATTATGTATCTAACTGAACTATAACTCTGTACATCTAGAAAACCTAACTAACATAACTACAAGTTTGACTACTATAAATGACTATCTGATAATTTGTATTTCTTAATTATACATTACATTTTTAAATGAGCTGCACAAACACAATACCTTAATCAAGAGCAGAAATATACACATAACAAAATTTGTACCAATAAATTGAGGTCTATACCAATCCAAAGTATTCATCTCTATAGCATATTCTTCTTTAAATGAAAACTAACATTAATAAACAATATTTGGGAATTTGGACATAGTTCTCTCAAAACTGCTTCCTGCTTTTTGTTAAGTAATTTTGGGGTTTTACAGAGACCTTTCAGGGGGTCTTGCTGCATCAATCCTCATTAGGCTGAAAGGAATCCACAGGTTCTCATCCTCTGTGGAAACAAAAATGGAACCTCTTTTCCAAAGCAACATATCCTTAGACACAAATTTTGAAGTCATGATATCTTTAAATTGTATGTGTTGGTTTATCGTGTTGGTTTATCTTAGCAATCCAAAGCAACATATGCTTAGACACAAATTTTGAAGTCATGATTTCTTTAAATTATTTTTTATGATATCTTTAAATTATATGTGTTGATTTATCTTAGCAATCCCCAGAATCAAATGTCTCTCTGTAGTCAAAAAGTTCAAAAAAATACAAAAATATGCATAATCCAGACTCGCTGTCTATATTCCATCTTTAATTGGTTTATTTTTCTTTACTCCTTTAGGCTATGATTCTCTGTAGTCTCTCTCTTTAAAGACATTGTTATATATTTTTTTTTAAAAATTACTTTTTTATAACTGCCTATATTCTTTTTCTTCTCTCTCCCAAGCCTATGTACATTTATTCAACACTGTGATCCACTTAGAGGGTTTATATACATAATCCAGACTCTTTGTGTATATTTCATCTTTACGTGGTTTACTTTTCTTACTCTATTATTTTTCTATAAGTTAAATATTTATTTTATTACCTTTACTCCTTTAATCTCTGACTGTCTGTACTCTTATATTTTAGCTGTCTATACTCTTATTCCTCTCTCTCTCTCTCTCTCTCTCTCTCTCTCTTTCTCTCTCTGTCAAGAATATGTACATTTATCTAACACTGTGACCTATTTAGAGAGAGGTCTTTTCCATCTGGATTTGTCTTTATTGCGTGGGTATCTATAATTGTTTTTTTTTTTTTTTGACCACGAGGTCATTTTTATATAAATGCTAAGAAGGCATGGCTCAGACCAACTCAACATTGCCTGCTTGCTCCACCGAGTCCAACATGGCAGAGACATGTTCACTGCCTCTGAGACTGCCAGGTGGGAGTCGTCCTTACCACCTCAACACTGGTAAGCAGTTGACTCATGCTGCTACTAAGTAACTTGCAGCAAGCTGCCCACAAATCCCATAAAAGTGCTTGGCACAGAGTTTGTGCTGCCTGAACCAGGAAGCTGGATCTTAAAGAAGCCATGCAATTTTTTGCTGCTAAAATTGAATCAGGAAACCTCTTAAAGGAGCCATGTCTCTACTTGCCACTAGCAAACATCCTATCTAAAAATATGCTGCTACCAATAAGCTCCAATTGACTCCCATTTCTGTGGGTCTAGAAACCCTCTTTTTTCTTAAACTTTTTTAGGTCTTATGTGAATCCAGGCTTCAGATTGTGGGTGCTGGTGCAGACTCTGCCCAGACCCCAAATAATTACTCAGAAACTATATTATTTAAAACACTTCTTGGCCAATAGCTTAGGTATATTACTAAATAGCTCTTATATCTTAAATTAACCCTTTTCCATTAACCTGTGCATCACCACGAGGTCATGGCCTACCTGCAAAGTTTAGGGAGGTGCCAGTGTATGTGTCTGTCTCCTGTGGTGACTACATGGCTTCTCTCTGACTCACCCAACCAACTATTTTCTAATGAAAGGGAAGTAAGAAAACAACAACAAAAGCAATTGTGTACATTTTTAGACAATTTTTTTCTTCTTAATTTCCTTTCCAACCTTATCATTAGAAGAAGGGAATGCTCCAATATTCTAGGAGTGTCTCATGTCACCAAAATGCATACCAAGAATTTTCACCAGCCAGATACAGTGGCATACATCTTAAACCTTAGCGCTAGGGAACCAGAGGCAGGTAGATTTCTATGCATTTCTGAACAGCCTATTATACATAGTGAGTTCAGTCAGCTGGACTACATAGTGAGACTCTGAAAAATAAACAGAAAACAAAAACACAACCAAAGAAATCAAAACAAAAACCAACCAGTTCTCACCATATACCGAAAGAAAAGATCAAACCAAGCACTGCAAAGCATTGCCTTTGTAATATCATTAAGTTCGTTGCTAAACTATATGCAGCATTAAGCTAATTCAGTGCTCACTTAGTACCATTCCATACTGTTTGGTTACCAGGTCATGACTGTACATAGTGAGGGTTCCTATTCCTTTAAAGGTGATGATATATATTATGTAATAGTATATCCAGAATTCTTCTAGCAGCAAGTACTTAACCTGTGAGGAACAAAGATGGAGGTTGCAAAAGCGCTTATGTAGCATGTACAGCCACGAAGGTAGTGGAGAAAACACCGAAGGTGGTGCCCCCTACTGTTTTTGCTCATGGCTTATTTTTCCTCACACTACAAAGGTTTTCCGCTACCGGAAGTTCCTTAGTAGTCACGTGCCAGAAGGCTCTGAAATCACGGTACTATAGCTAGCCAATAAGAAGTCTCCCCTGGGAATTAAGGTCCGCCCCCAAGGAAAGTTCCAACGACGACCAGTATTCCGCTTTTTGCGGTGCTGCTTGACCTGAAGTGAAATCGTTCTCGTGGTAACGGTAGCTCAGATTTTCTCTGCTGCGTAGTTTTCCAGAGCTGACATTTCTCTGTGGTACTGACACCCTGAAACATGGAGCAATTCTGCAAGACAGTTCCTAGCTTTCTCACCAAACTGTGGGTAATAGTCGACGACGCCGTTTTGGATCATGTGATTCGCTGGAGCAAGGTAAAAGACTATATGGGAAGAAGCGTGGGTGTAAATAGAGGGCTGTAGCTTCGGAAAGAGTCTTTTCAGAGTGTGGGAAATTTTTAGACAGGGTGAAGGATAGAGGCACAAGACGTTTACGCGACCCCTACAGCTGCTTGGTGGACACTGAGTTTCATAAGGAGATGATTAAACCTTACTTCAGGCAGTGCTGTGTTTCCTGGCAAAAACTACACTCGTTTTCTACCATTTTTCGTCTTCAGAATCACTAAACACTTGCTATATGAGTAAAAATTTACTCAGAATTGTATCACTTTGCCATAAAAGTATGCATAGCACATACTTCAACTTTCCCACCAAGCATACCTACACTGACTGTTCCAGGGCTAGCTACTGTCGCAGTTTCTGAGAGAATTTGTGATACACCTTATTTTATCACTGGGGCCTTGCTATCCTTTCATTGTGTGAGCTGGGTGAATTATAAATACATCCTTTTCACTGAGATTTTTATTTACATTTAGCTTCTAGTCACTCTGGCTAGGAATAAAATCTTGTAGAATCTGTTAAAACCAGATGTGACTAGTTCTCTAAAGCATCGTGTCCATTTGTTTTAAAAAAAGGTCTCACTCTGTAGCCCAGGTTGGCCTTGGTTCATGATTATCTTGCCTCAGTCCTTCTCAGTGCTGGTAATACAGGAATGTACTACCACACTCAGCCAAGGTAAAACTTTTTTATTAATAAAATTTCAAACACAAATATAAAGTGGTATAATGAATTCCCAAGTACCACAACTAACTTCAAATAATAATCAATTCATAGCCACTCTTATTTCATAAACAGCTCTTACTCATAATTCATTTGAAAAAAATAGTGGGCATCATCTTTAATTTATAACTTCTTCATAAATATGAATTTAAAACAAAAGAAATATCGAAATAAATGTTTTATATTTAAAGAAATTAGAGCTGGGATGCAGGTTGGTGGTACTTATCTATCATATGAAAGGCTCTGGGCTCATCACCAAAAACCACAAAAGTAGTGATAATATCTTATTAATTAATTAAATTGACTCCAAGAATTTAGAACCAATCTTTCTATCGCACTGAGCCTTACTGCGGGATTTTCATGATTAAGAATTTATTCAAAGCTCATGGGCGCTGGGATATTCCATGGGATATATGCTTCTCATTTTGTGATTAGAGTCTTTATATCTGGGTAGGACTATGGACTGCTTCCTTCCCTTGGCAAATTACATAATACTTTCTTGTATTATGGAAGTCAGACTGAAAGAAGGAGGTTTTCAGGTTCCATTCAACTCAAATATTCTGAGTCTTGTGTCGTAAATGTGTGAGGTTGTCAGCAGTAGGGATGTATCTTCAACCTCTGCGAGGCAACCAAAAGTAACAGCAATAACTATATTCTTTTGAGAGCCACTTGGATTTCTCTTAATGACAACTTTGAAAGCTGGTTTCCCATGCATGGTGCTGGAGTATTGCTAGATAGTCTCTGGCTTTAGGGGAACACTATCATTCCAACTAACATAATTTCAATTAAACTATTTGTATACATACAGCATAATACACTTATATGCATGTATTATCTAATTTTAAGTAATCACAAAATAGTTTAGTTCCTCGTGGCCTTTTCAGACATATTTAGTGCTTTTTGTCCTCCCACCATCTCCTGTGCTGTTCTTATTTTTCCCCTCCAGAATCGAGACTCACTGCCCGCCCTCCCTGTTTTCCCTTTCATAGCACCCATAGCCTACTATTCCTCTCCCTCGAGCTCCACACTGTCTACCCCACCCTCACCAACAGGTTCCTTTTTAGTTTCTTGGTATTTGTGGATACCAGAGGTGATATACTCACATATACTTGAGGTTAAGAACTAGAAACCACAAATAAAAAAATTCAGCATTTATCTGTCTGGGTCTGGATTACCTCACTTATTATACTCTTTTAATTCCATATATTAACCTGAAAATTTCATGAATCCATTTTTCTTTGTAACTAAATAATGAATGTTTGCACCCCATTTCTGCCATTCATCCATCAGGTGAAGGACATTTTAGTTATTTCCTTTTCCTAGTTATTGTGAATAGTGAGCCATGAAGATGGCTGAGCAAGTGTCTGCTGGAGTAGTGAGATGTCTAGGCCTTTGGCATATGTGGAACAGTGGTATAACTGGGTTGTAAGGTAACTTTTTCTTTTAAAAGAGTTTGAAGATTCTCTCCACTGATTTGAGAGTGACTGCAGCAGTTTTCAATCCCATCAGTAGTGAATGATGTGTCCCCCGTCTCTACATCCTAATCAGCATTTGTTGTCAGTGATTTTCTTGATCTTAACCATTCTGACTTGGTAAAGTGAAATCTCCTTCACCAAAGTTTTATAATGAAAAAGAAAATGAAAAACAGAAGTCAAAACCACTAATGCTCTCAACAGAAAAACAAAGAAGTTAAAATGTGGTAATTATCAGAAGTTAGAGGTTAGTACAGCAAAATAATGTTATTAAAAAGTATTGCAGTATTTTGTGTATCATACTCTCTAATTAAGCAAAAACGTACTCTTACATGCAATGATACAAAACCAGAATATTTGCTTGTCTATGTATAGAGCAAAAGTTCTTTTTTGAATATTGAAAATATATAAAAACTTGTTTGTGAAAGTGATTTTATTAAGCCATTGCACATTGGACCAGAAAAACATTTATGGATTTTGAAGAAGATGATATATACTGTAATTCTTCAATTAGAATAGTGGACTCTTGAGCAGCGATATTTTTTATCTATTGTACTTTACTTTTTTGAATTATATGTATGTGATCTCTCTCTCTCTCTCGATCTCTCTCTCTCTCTCTGTGTGTGTGTGTGTGTGTGTGTGTGTGTGTGTGTGTCTGTGTCTGTGTCTGTTTCTGTTTCTGTGTGTGTATCTGTGTACAATGTGAATATGAGTTGAGTTCCCATGGAGGCCAGAAGAAGGTTTCAGTCCCCTGAAACAGAAATTTCAGATGGTCATAACTGCCTGATGTGGATGCTGAGAAAAAAACTTGGTTTCTCTGCAAAAAACAGTACATGCTCTTAACTGCTAAGCTGGTTTCTAACTCCAAATATTATTTTTGATAATGTATATAGAAGTATGAAACAGAAGAAAATGAGACTTCTCCTACATCTTAGCAACACTGAGGTAGAATCAGTTTTTAAATAACAGTTTTACTAAGATGTGTTGTTCATTTCACTCAAAGAATATAATTCAGAGTTTTTTAAACATGTTTTTAAAGTGGTCCATTTACCACCAGAATTTAAGAACATTTTTTTATCTTGCATAAATTATCAATCTCTGTCCATTCAGTCAGTGTCCAACATGGAATCATGTTTAAATGCAAGTCACCCTGTTTCAGTAACACTTGAATTCAGTTCCAAATCTCAGTTGCTTGCATAGTGTCCTATGAAAACATTCAAAAGATATCTTCTCTAACAGCAAACCCATTTCAGTGCTGGAGCAATTCTTACTAACTCTGCTGTGTGAGACTCATAAGTAATTACTGCCTTTGGTGGAAGTATTAACCTTTCCTGTATACTCTACATATGGGATTGTTTGAATGAGAGATGCCCCCCATAGGCTTGAGTATTTGAACATTTGGTTCCCAGGTGGTGTCACTGTTGGCAGCAGTTTAGGAGACTCGGCATTCCTGCAGGAAGTATGTCATTAGAGACAGGCTTTGAGGTTTTATAATCTTACCCACTTCCAGTTCCTCTCACATTATCTGTGAACCATGCTTGTGGTTGAGGGTGCTATCTCTTTGCATCCTGCTCCAGCTTCTATGCCTCCCTGCCCTGCCCTGATGGTCTCTTATGCTCTAATAAATTCTCCCCTTTGTAAGTTATCTTGGTCATAGTGCTTTATCACATTCACAAAAAAGAAACACACATATGCACATGCACACGTATACTAATATTTATTGATATATGTTGACATATATAGAATGCACTAATATATAAATATGTATTAATAGTTTACATTGTGCTGATAAGATAGTACTATAGACTACTAAATACATATATATTCATATACGTGTGTATCTCATTTTTTGGATTCAGTAGTCCATATTGCTACTTTATTACCTTTGATTCTAGCATTGTTACAACTCACATATTCATGAAAAAATTCCCAGTAAGGCAAAGCAGTGTCTCTAGCCAATAGCAACCTTTGTCTTTAATGTGTGTTCGCTCAGTGAAATTAGCTATTGTACTTGCAGTTCATTTTTTCTTATCTAAAAACATAAGATCAATTCTATCCATCATTTATAAGTTATAAGTCTAATCTTGTAGCACAATTAATAAAAACCTAGAGACAAAATTTGGGGTTCAACCTGAAGATTAGAAAAGCAAAACAGCCAGCCACTGACTCTTGCCTCTACCTCTATCTGAAATGGCGATCCTGCCTCCAGGAATCTCAGAATGAGACTGTGTGTGAGTCTTGTCTCCTCCTGTCTTATATTCCTCTCTAGTTCTGGGATTAAAGGCTTGCACCACTATCGCCCAGTTTCTGTGGCAATCTAGTGTGGCTACTAGGATTAAAGGTGTGTGTCACCACTGCCTGGTCTGTAAGGCTGATCAGTGTGATTATTTTACGCTCTGAACTTCAGGCAAGCCTTATTTATTACAAATGAAATATCACTACCTCAGCTAGTTATTAAATTACTGGGCAAGATGATAATGAACCCAAATCCCTTTTATAGTATCAGACTTAAAGATCAATAGAAGGTTTGTCTGCCAAGTTGCACTTGTATCATTTTTAGAAAACCAGGGTGCCCATCTATACTGTAGGTGATATTTAGTATGGTGTTACATGTTATCAACCTCCTGATTAGAGTCTATTTTCTCCTCTTCTGTGGGAAAGAAATTAGTATAGATGTTTTCTGTTTTGCTTTTTGTTCTGATAACACAATGCAAATAATTACTTTCTAATTTTTCCAATGCTAAGAATCAAACTTAGGACCTTGTGCTTCTGGTCAAACCCCTGCCACTGAGCTAATCTTCAGACACCCCTGTTTTTGTTCAGTAAGATCTTACTGTATAGAGACATTCCTCTTAAACTTGTGATCCTCCTAATTCTCCTCTTGAATGCTAAATTTCGTGTGTGATAATACTACCAGCCAATTACCTGTGTTTCCTATTTGAATTATTTTTAAGTTATCATACAAAGTAATGGGTCTAACTATGATATTTCATCCACGTGTCATTATAATTTCTTCTTATTTATCCCCCTCTCTTATTGCCCTACCCTATTTCCCAAGCCTCCTCTTGCAGGTCCCTCCCCCACTCCTGTTCACTGTTACCCTGATCTTTCTAATATGTATATTATTTTCAGTACTCACTCTTTCAGTCTCAGAAATCTAAAGATAGAGCAAAATAAACAATGTGCTTAACTTGAGACATACATCACTACATTTTCTTTCATTTCATTATGTGTCATTATCAAGACTCTAATTATTCAGAAACCTTTCATCCAGTTTATAGTTAATAATCTTCTCTATGACATTTTAAACTTCTTGACTCCTTATAATTGGGTTATTTTTGTATCTCCACAACAGATTGATCAAGTAATAGAATAATATATTTTGAAGATATTGTATGAAATTCTTTATTAATCTCTGAAGACCAGTCAGTTCTTGGAAAAACTAAGGTGGTATGGGTTCTGGTCTTACAATAAGTTAGTTTATGAATAGTCTTGAGAAGCAAAACCAACTAAAGATAACCCCATCCTTCTAAAATGCACATACCTTCTATTAGAGTGACTCATGAACCCCACTAATTACTAGAATAGAATGAATTAAAATCCTTGGCTCCAGGGCCAGAGTAATGATTCAGTGGGAAAAGGACTTGCTACACAAGCAGAGGACCTAAGTTCAGACCCCCAAATTCAGGTAAAATGTGGTGTGTGTGTGTGTGTGTGTGTGTGTGTGTGTGTGTGTGTGTGTGTGTTGAAGATAGGAAAATCACTGGAGATTTCTGGCCATCTGCCTAGTACCAGGTTCATTAAGAGACCTTAACTCAAGGGAGTAGGTAGAGAAATCAAGCAAGTCACTTAATATCCTCCTCTGGATTCAAGAAGAATATGCATGCATACATACACAGGGACATGCACCTGTGAACATACATATCCACTACACACACACACACAATCTTGGTAGTTTATGGGTAGTATAATGAGCCATGTAACCTCTAAAGAACTAAAATATCTGTGGAATCCTATGGGTAAATAATAGATGAGCAGGGTCTTTTTTCTTATTCTTAGGTGAAGTAGGGAATCAAGTTTTAAAAACCTGACATTGAAGCTAGTTCATTCTTACAATTTCACTTAAGTTTAAATTTCTAATTTAAGAGAATGAGCAGCATATAAAAATATTATCAAAAAAGAATATTATCACCTTTGTCTACTTTAAAATGCTTTTTGTTGCAGTCTACTTTTCAGAAAGTAAGTAATTATAGTGCTATCCACTGATAACTGCTGTCTTCTGTTTATACAGTAATACTGTTTTGTATGTTTAAATATCTTTTGCAAGGAGCACAGATGCTAGGGGTTGAATTTAGGTGTCTGTCATTGATCTATATCATTATCACATATCTCTATTATTTATTATACCTTTTGAAATTTTGCCTTTTTCATTTGAAATATATCATTATGATTAATGTAGCATGTCTAATAAAAACTCAGAGACAGAAAGTGGGGTTCAATCTGAAAGTCAGAAAGGGAAAACAACCAGCCAGTGACCCTTACCTCTACTTTAGTCCAAAATGGCAATCCTGCCTCAAGAAATCTCAGAATAAGTCTGTGTGCAAGACTGTGTCTCCTCCTGTTTTATATTTCTCCCTAGTACTGGGATTAAAGGTATTCACCACTATAGCCCAGTTTCTGTGACAAACTAGTGTGGACATTGGGATTAAAGGTGTATGTCACCACTGCCTGGTCTGTAAGATAGTGTAGCTGTTTTTCTTCCTGATTTTCAGGCAAGCTTTATTTACTAAAATAAAAATGGAATATCACTAAATTTCCCTTTGTTTCTAAAATAAAAAGAAAGCTATAACTAATATAAGAAAAACTATGTACAATAAGTACAATGACTATATACAATAATACAGGAAAGAAGTGCATCAACAATGTTTAGTCTATTTGCATTTGACAAATTCAGAGAACACAATCCATATGTATGCTATCTTGGTGAGTCCAAAGTCTTGCACCTACTTTACTTTCTGTCATAACCTGCTTTCTGCATCAGGAAAACAAAGAAAAATATAACTATTTAGTCTTCAACTTCCCCAGAGACCCAACAAGGAGATATTATTAACTGAGTAAGCAAAAAGTGCAAGCAAATGACTTCCAAACAATATGAGAAATGATAGAAACAGCTGGCTACTTGGACAGTCACCAAAGTTCCTCTGCAACATTGGGGCATCTATCTTTGGCTGAGAGGTCTAGCATATCCAACAGACTTTTCTGTGAAGTGCGATATTTTGAAGGGCTGTCCCTCCTTATCTTGACAATGTTTGGCAGTCACTTTCTTTTGTGTCCTGCTTCTCTGATTAGGAAAGCATACTGTCAGCAGTCAAGGCAAGGATGTTTTCTTGCCCAGTGGTTTACTTTTGCTGCAAAGAAAGTAAACTCCATGTGAAGTTTCTTTAATGTCCATTGGTACTGCCAGAAGAAGACATGTCTCATTGTCATAAAAAATGAACCTATGTTATTAAAACATCTTAAATGGCATATTCTCTAGATCTCTGAAGTGTTTGAAGATGACTTGTCTATCTAAAATATATCTTTGTTTAACCTTGGAAACATACCTAATTACATTCACTAAATATTCTTATATAGCTTTACTTTTTAATCATTGAGTAATATTTACTTGTGCAGACTTAATTATTATAGTAGTATTAATGTAGTTTCCAATTTTTAATATTATATACAAATACTAATGTAACTTTATTATTAAATCTTATTAAATTTTAGCAATTATTGTCTAATCTTGAATTAGAATTTCTAATTCAAAGACTGAGTGCTTGGGAACTTTGAATGTCTATTGTTAGCAATATTAAGACAATTTAAATTCTGGCAATATGAAAACCTGTTTATCTATACTCTTTCTAATTTATAACCACTGAAGATTAATATTTTCTTTGGTCTTTGTCAACTTGATAGACAAAAGATTATACCTTGTTGTAATTTAAATTATGAAAACTTTTCTTGAAAACATAATTATTTTTTGTTGTTGTGATAAAATATCTTGACACAGGCAACTTAAGGGAGAAAGTGTTTACTTCAATACATAGTTCAAGGTGATAGTCTGTTTTGATGAAAAAAGTCATAGTGTCCAGAACTTGGAGAAACTAGTCACATTGTATCCACAATAAAGAAGTGAAGAGTAAGGAGTGAATGTAGTGTACTTTTTATCACCTTCTCTCCACTTATACAGGCCAGAATCCCTGGCTCAGGGAATGGTCTGACCTGCAAGTCAGAAGTGTCTTCACACATCAATTAACACAGTCAATTTCATCCCCTATAGGCATAGTTAGAGGTTCTTCTCCCAGGTGATTCTGGATTTTGTCAGGTTGACAACTAACATTAAACATTACAATTGGCTAATTCTTTTATTTTCCCCTTTGGCTTTTACAAACAGGATTTCTCTGTGTAACATTCCTGGCTGTCCTAAACTCAATTTGTAGACTGGACTGGCCTCGAGATCACAGAGATCCACCTGCCTCTGCCTCTCAATTTCTGAGATTAAAGGCATGGGCCACCATGCCCAGATGGACTAATTCTTTGAATTACTGTCTGTGGAGAGTCTCCAAGTCTGTGGAGAGAAAGTTTCCTTGTATAACCCAGACTGAAACCCTCAGTCTTCTTGCTTTTGCTTTTCCAAATGCTGGGATTTCAAATGCTCGACCATATCTGATTTTGCCTGTTTATGTTTAATTTGTAAGATTTGGGGACACATGCTTTCATGATAAATCTATTGCATTTTCCTTGATAGTACTTCTTTTGTTCTTTCTTTATTTTGGTTTGTTGAGACAGAATTTCTCTGTAGCTCTGGAGCCTGTCCTGGAACTAGCTCTTGTAGACCAGATTGGCCTCAGACTCACAGAGATCCTTTTGAGCACTGGGATTAAAGGTGTGTGCCACCACTGCCTGGCCTCATGATATGCCTTTTGCTCATATTCTGTATATTTATGATATATTTTCCTCCATGATAAAGGATTGAAACTAGAGTCTTATGCGTGATATGAACATACTCAACTAATGAGCTATACTTCTAGTGGGAAGAATTATTTAATTTGGACTTTAAATTTTCACAAGCTTTGGAATCAAGTGACATTATTTTGAATTATTACTTGAGTGAAACCTCATTTTTTTTCTATAAATGACTATGTTTTGGTTTTCCTTTATTACAAGGATGGTCACAGTTTTCAGATTGTGAATGAAGAAAACTTTTCTAATGAAATACTACCAAAATACTTCAAGCATAACAAAATAGCCAGCTTTATTCGACAACTCAACATGTGTAAGTATGATTTAATTGTACAATTATTGACATTTATTACAAATATATTCATTTAATTGTCAATGAATAGTTGGAAGTCCAAGTTGAGTGAAAACTCTTAATGCAGTATATTGTTTAAAGTCTACATAGCCTTTCTTATTGACTGAAGTTCTTCCTTAGTTACTTTTCTATTGATATGATAAAGCACCAAGACCAAGGCAACTTTTAAACGAAAGCACGTAATTTGGCCTTATAATTTTAAGGGAGTAAGAGTGCATGGCAGCAAGCAGGAAAGCATAGCACTGGAGCAGTAGCTGAGAGCACACATCTTGAAACACAACCACAGGGCAGAGATAGCTAACTGGAAATGGTGTGGACATTTGAAAGCTCAAAGCCTATCTCAGTAACACACTTCTTCCAAAAAGGCCACATCTCCTAATCCTTCCCAAACTGTTTTGCCAACTAGGAACCAAGTATTCAAATATATGTGTTTATGGTGGCCATTTTCCTTTGAACCACTAAAGATTTCAAACATAAAAATTCCTTTCTGGAAAGATCTGTTTTAAATTTTTGAGTTCAGAATCATGCAGTTGACTGGGAACAAAGATTTATCTAATTTAATCTTCCTGTGCTGGTGCTAAAGAATGGGGACTAAAGGGATTAAGTATGCTTGATCCAGATTGTACAGCTAGGTAATTCGTTCCTTCATTAAATATACTTCAGTTCTCCCATTTCTAATCTTTGAAATTCTGAAAGTATTACATAGTACAAATGTTAATTATACTGTGTCACAGGCCTGGTTTTTCAACATAAGTTTTTGTTTTACTAATATGGAGAAATTATAAATACAAAATGTACAGACAAATAATGTTTGTTTATGAAAACAATAGTGTTTTTGTCTTCATTATTTTTAATGTAGGGTTTTATAAATATTTCCCACATTTACAATGTGTTATTTTATGTAATACCATTATTAAGGTTATTTTCATTTTTGACACTTTAAAAAAGTTATTTCTGTTTTTATTTCCTCAAATTGTCTTAATAAACATCTACTATAATAAAAATTGTATACTGTTGTTATAAAATATTTTTAAAATAATACCAAATTTCTTTATGGTAGTAAAACTTCTCTGAGGAACTGACTTGATGTTTACATTATTATTCCTAGTCCTTCCTGACTTTGTCACAATTAGGGCAAAAGCTTCCATGACTATACTGAATCCACTTTGCAATTAGCCAGTGACTTTCTTTTCGGTGCATTCATTGATCAATCATTGCCTACTTTCAAGGCCTAAATGTGAGAAGTAGTACACAATGTGGTGCTCTAAATTATCCAGAATAACAAGTGCAGAAAGTTGGTATTTATTAATAGCACACGATATTTCACTTAAAATATTTAACATGTACCAACCATAGCTGTAAGCATAGCAAGAAGTAAATATAAAGATTTCTTTTTAACTCTAAAATTAATACATGCAGTTATTTTGCCCTATTTTTCTCTTCGTCTTTCAACATTATGACACTAATATTTAACCAATCTTACTTTAACTACAGATATAATTTATTTTCACACTTACTGAGAAAAGAAAACTATTCTCTTAAGTCTTTTTACCTTCATCAGCTCGTGCAGTTTCTCTACCCTCACTCCCTCCAATATATATTTTTAAAAATCAGAATTGAGGAATACTCATAGGGGGAACATGTAGTATTTTGCTTTCAGAGCCTGAATTATCTCATTAATAATAATGTTTTTCAGTTCTATTTATTTTTCTGCAGACTTTATTTTTTCTTTATGGCTGAGTAAAATTTCATTATGTACAGATCATGATTTCTTTGTCCATTCGTGTGTTGATAGAAATATAAGTTGAATTTATTTTCTTGCTTTTATGAACAGAGTGACAATAAATCAATAAATAAAGATGTGTATTTACCCAGGAATGCTAAATTAAGTGCTAAATATTATTTTTTCATGATATCCTATTGATTTTAATATTTGCATGATTTGTGGTAATTTTTTATTGATTTTTATTGAGCTCTACATTTTTCTCTGCTCCCCTCTCTTCCGCTCCCCTCCACTTCAACCCTCTCGCATGGTCCCCACGCTCCCAATTTACTCAGGAGATCTTGTCTTTTTCTACTTCCCATGTAGATTAGATCTATAAGTTTCTCTTAGTGCCCTCATTGTTGTCTAAGTTCTCTGGGATTGTGGTTTGTAGGCTGGTTTTCTTTGCTTTATGTTTAAAAACCACCTATGGGTGAGTACAAGTGATAATTGTTTTTCTGGGTCTGGGTTACCTCACTCAAAATAGTGTTTTCTAGCTCCATCCATTTTCCTGCAAAATTCAAGATGTCATTATTTTTTTCTTCTGTATAGTACTCCACTGTGCGAATGTACCACATTTTCCTTATCCATTCTTTGGTTGAGGGGCATTTAGGTTGTTTTCAAGTTCTGGCTATGACAACCAATGCTGCTATGAACATAGTTGAGCACATGTCCTTGTGGCATGATTGAGCATCTTTTGGATATATACCCAAAAGTGGTATTACTGGATCTTGAGGAAGGTTGTTTCCTAAGTTTCTGAGAAATCACCATACTGATATCCAAAGGGGCAGAACCTGCTTTCATTCCCACCAGCAATGCAAAAGTGTTCCCTTTCCCCCAAACCTCTCCAGCATAAGTTGTCATCAGTGTTTTTGATCTTGGCCATTTTTACAGGTGTAAGATGGAATCTCAGAGTTGTTTTGATTTGTATTTCTCTGATGACTAAGGATGTTGAACATTTCCTTAAGTGTCTTTCAGCCATTTTAGAATCCTTTGTTGAGAGTTCTCTGTTTATGTCTAATACGAATATGGTTGTGGGACCATTCAATGGAACATGATAAACTTACCAGTGACCAAACCCCCAAGTGACTTTCTCTTCTCAGTGGGCATCAACTGCAGCTAGGGATGGGACTCAGTAGTCCTTCCTCCATCCATGCTGGAGTTTGAACTGACTTGACCTTCTACAGGTCTAGTGCAGGTAACCACAGCAGCTGTGAGATCTTTGTGCATCATGCAAAATATGTCCAAAACAACATTTAACAGCACTCCTCTTCATCCTCTGATTCTTGTGTCCTCTTGTCCCTCTCTTTCTTGATGTCCCCTGAGCTTTGGATAATGGTGGTTGATACAGATGCTGACACACAGCTGTGAACTCATGCTCTCTCTTCCTCATCACTTTGAAGAGTTATAAGTCTCCAGATTATTCAATGCCCATGTCAGAAGAGAAGGAAAAGAAGATTCTCTGATCAAATTGAGAGCAATATTAATATATAGGTATAAACAAAAGTATTTAGATGATAGCTGTTTGATAACATGACCACTTAGCAAAATGACAATAGAGTTTTCCCATAGGGACAGTGACCTCCCCAGACATGAACTGCTGACTAGGTTTATGCTGGCACGACTTCCCTCCTATGGAAATGATCTCAAATTTTCAAGTTGTTTGCTCATATAATAGTCATGCATAATTAAGCCCATTTTGTTTTACATGTCAGTATTGTAAGACACAGAGTTCAGGCCTGGCTTAAAGGGATTCATGCCTTTTCTCCTCCAGCAACCTGATAGCAGCTCCTGGCCCTGTGAAAGCTAGCCAATAGAGAGAAAAGGCCCTGGCCAGAGACGGGTTTTCCTATGTTCTACAACCAAAGTGTGTGGTGTCTTCAGCAGTAGGGTCTTCACGTCTAGTTATGGTGGGCAGCCAAGATCGATGACAATGGTCTGTGTTGGTTTGGGTGCCACTGGTTCTCCAAGACCAATAATTCATAGGAAAGTAAACTATGCTTGGTCTTAAGATCTTCATTTAATAATCCATGTCTTCTGGGAGCAGCATTGTCCACTCATGAAGGGTAACTCTGTTTATATTATTTTACAAAATAATGTTTTTAATTAGCTTTCAAATTATTGGGGTTTTATAAGACTTCATACAAGTGTAGATTTGGCTGACCCTTCCTCCACTCCCTCTTTTTCCCCATCTCTACCCCTATTCCCACTTAAGTCTTTAACCCTCAGCTTCACCTTAACATTTTTTTTGAACTTATGTGTTCAACTGTGGCCTCTTATTACATTTTTCACTTGTATACATGATCATAGTTTCCATATAGTTTTTTCATATACTTTTTGTGTTGGTTAATCCTTCCCCCATCCCGTTTTCTCAATTTCTCCATGCCACTTTTTTGGGGGATATTTTTTCCTCCAATATTCTCCTTTACTTTCATTTTCCCTATATTTTACTAAGCTAGGATCCACATAAGAGGATCTGTGGTGTTTGTCTTTCTGGGGCTGAATGATTTCACCCAGTAGAATGCAGTCCAGTTCTACTCATACACCTGCAAGTTTCATTTTATTTTTCTTTGTAGTGGAGAAATTCTATTGTGTACATCTACTATGTTATTTTTTACCCATTTATCAGTTGATGGACTCCTAACTTGTTTTCATATTCATTTCCTAATTAATAATTAAAAATAAACTATTATAATTAAAATAGCAGTGAAGATAGTTGTATAAGTATCCTGGTAGTAAGGTACAGAGTATTTCAGTATATACCCAGTAGTGATATAGCTGAGTCATATGGTAAATCTAACTTTAGAGTTTTTGCTTTTTATTCTTTTCACATACAATACATCCTGAGCACATGTTCACCTCCTTCTTCCTCCCAGTTTCCCTCCTCCACGTCCTCTCTCCCCTAGAGTCATGGCTTCTCCGTTTCTCTTTAGAAAAGAGCAGGCCTCCCAGGGATATGAACTGAACATGGCATATCAAGTTACAATTATACTAAGCACATACCCTCATAACAAGGTTGGATGAGGCAACTCAGTAGTAGGAAAGGATCTTATGAGCAGGCAAAAGACTCAGAGACATCTCCCACTTCCGCTTCTAGGAGTCCCACAAGAACACCAAGTTACATACCCACAACATATATACTGAGGACCTAGCACAAGCCCATGTAGGTACTGTGATTGTTGCTTCAGTCTCTGTGAGC